ATTCTCATTACTCAACTACAACATTCTCATTACCCAACTGTCTACAACATTCTCATTACCCAACTGTCTACAACATTCTCATTACCCAACTGTCTACAACATTCTCATTACCCAACTGTCTACAACATTCTCATTACCCAACTACAACATTCTCATCACCCAACTACAACATTCTCATTACCCAACAGTCTACAACATTCTCATTACTCAACTACAACATTCTCATTACTCAACTACAACATTCTCATTACCCAACTGTCTACAACATTCTCATTACCCAACTACAACATTCTCATTACCCAACTGTCTACAACATTCTCATTACCCAACTGTCTACAACATTCTCATTACCCAACTACAACATTCTCATTACCCAACTACAACATTCTCATTACCCAACTGTCTACAACATTCTCATTACCCAACTACAACATTCTCATTACCCAACTGTCTACAACATTCTCATTACCCCAACTGTCTACAACATTCTCATTACCCAACTACAACATTCTCATTACCCAACTGTCTACAACTAGACCTATGAGAACGATAATCAAAATTACTTCCGTGTGCTCTATAAAATTAATTAAAAAGTCTAGTCACATTTAAGCGCAATTTCCTTATGTTATCTAAAAATAGCTCTGTCGTAGCGTAAATCAAGAGCAGGGTAAGTAAAACCATTGGTTAAAATACATGTTTTATTTACAATAGAGTTACATGACTAAAAACCATTGCGCGCCTACTGAACGTGATGACGCAGCCATTGAACGTGATGGCGCAGCTATTGAACGTGATGACGCGTGTGGTGTGGTTGGATAAAAATGCCTACTAATTCGGTCCAAATTTTAATTAATTCAAAAACTTTTTGTGACCGAACGAAATGATTTTTGAAAACTTTCTTCGGCAATATTGTTCTAAATTATGGCAGGAATCGATTGGTACATGTTTCAAGTCGCTAAGTAGTCTGGTTGCCGAGATATGGGCCAAAAACTGCATTTTTTCGAGGTTTTTTGGCTTTTCCGGGAAATCCATGAAAGAAACCCGGAATTTTTATGGCCTATGTTCATCCTCGTAACTTGCTTAACATAATTGCTTTTGGAACTAGTCATCGATATTGCTTTGTTGAGGAGGAGATACGACTTAAAGCTGCGGACACACATTCATACATTCATCCATCCATTCATCCATCCAGAAATGACGGGTTAATAAACGCAATTCTCCAGAATGGAAATTGCGCTAAAAACTTTTGATGACGATTTATCCACATACAATAGTTTTTGTAAACACACAACACAATCTTTTTCCTATCCTTCAACACTTCAACTGAAACCCACGCTGTTTTATTCTAGTCATCTACTCTCTTATCTACCATACATCTCATCATAACAAACACATCCCACCATAACAAACACATCCCACCATAACAAACACATCCCGCCATAACAAACACATCCCGCCATAACAAACACATCCCGCCATAACAAACACATCCCGCCATAACAAACACATCCCACCATAACAAACACACCCCACCATAACAAACACATCAAATCTTAACAAACATAGTCTATCATAACAAACATATTCTATCATAACAAACATATTCTATCATAACAGACATATTCTATAATAACAAACATATTCTATCATAACAAACATATTCTATCATAACAAACATATTCTATCATAGCAAGCAAATTTTACCATAACAAGCAAATTCTATCATAGCAAGGAAATTCTATTAAAGCAAGGAAATTCTACCACAGCAAGCAAATTCTACCGTTAGTCGTGTCGAGTTTATCGTAAGTCCTACAAACACTCAGCTCACTTTTTTATGGTTGTCACAAACCTAACTCACTTGTCACAACTGAATACCTGTCACAAAACTTAAACTCCAGTCATAATTAACATAACAGCTCCACCCCCCCCCCTCACCTCAATCTTCCAGATAGTTCTATCTGTCGTCGCAATCTGTCTCGCCCTTCAACTGACCACAGTCCAGAGCTGCCCAGAATGTGACAGGAAGCTATGCCACTACAAGCGCTGTGACTGCCTCCGTGCCTCGATGCCAGACATCCCCTCGACCCTATCCTGCGAGGAAGTCGGGGGCAACTACTATAACCTCGCTTGTGTGGGGGACTTTAAGTCCTGCCTGCAGGCTATAGGCTGCGATTGGATAAAAGAATACACGTGATTCGCTCATTTGTCGTGTTTAAGTTATTTTTAAAACTATCTACATGTCAGGGGGTCGTCCATAAATGACGTCACTCTCATAGGGGGGAGGGTGGGTCCGTAATTTTGTGACGGTGTGTAATGAGGGGAGGATGGGGGGGGGGGGGGGTTCAGATGGTGTGACGTCACACTTTTGCATTTAAAAAAAGCAATATTAGAAGCGTAGGCTGGGGTGTAACGTCATTTGGGGGGGAAGGGGGGGGGGTCTGGCTTTTTATGACGATATGTGACAAAGGGGAGGGGGAAGGTAAAAGTCGTTTGAGGGGGGTGCAAATTAAAATTTTGAGGGGGGGGGGGGGGGCAAATTGAAAATTGAAAGATTGTTCCCGAGGGGGGGGGGGGGGGCGCCAAATTGAAAGTTTGTCCCCGGGCACCGGGAAGGGTCGCTACACCTCTGGATTCCCCCCCCCCCCCCGACTTCTCAGATTGCTACATCAAGCAGTTGAGCAGTCAATGCCAGTGATCAATGTAGGTTGCTTGATCTACGTCAGTGTTCGGTTGAAGGTTGAGACTAAGAGGAATAAGATAAAACACATCTGATAGCAATATATTCTACTTTATAACAATGACAACAAACAAACACAAAACCTCCGCTACAGAAGGGACATCAATGGGTCAAACGTGCAAGTACACGTTCCACTAATGTTTGATGATGTATCAGTTGGCTAAACCCATGAAAACAACGAGCGACAGGGCTCAGGGCTACTTGGCTCATAGCAACATGGCTCGGGGCTACTTGGCTCATAGCTGTACGGGTCAAGGCTATACGGCGCAGTGCTACAAGGTTAGGTGGCTCAAGGTTAGGTGGCTCAAGGTTAAGTAAATCAAGGTAAGATGGCTCAAGGTTAGGTGGTTCAAGGTTAGATGGCTTAAGGTTAGGTGGTTCAAGGTTAGATGGTTCAAGGTTAGGTGGCTCAAGGTTAGATGGTTCAAGGTTAGGTGGCTCAAGGTTAGATGGCTCAAAGTTAGATGGCTCAAGGTTAGGTGGTTCAATGTTAGGTGGCTCAAGGTTAGGTGGTTCAATGTTAGGTGGCTCAAGGTTAGATGGCACAAGGTTAGGTGGCTCAAGGTTAGGTGGCTCAAGGTTAGATGGCTCAAGGTTAAGTGGCTCAAGGTTAGATGGCTCAAGGTTAGGTGGCTCAAGGTTAGATGGTTCAAGGTTAGGTGGCTCAAGGTTAGATGGCTCAAGGTTAGGTGGCTCAAGGTTAGATGGCTCAAGGTTAGGTGGCTCAAGGTTAGATGGCTCAAGGTTAGGTGGCTCAAGGTTAGGTGGTTCAAGGTTAGGTGGCTCGAGGTTAGATGGCTCAAGGCTACAAAGCTAGATGGCTCATGGTTAGATGGCTCTAGATGGCTCAAGGTTAGATGGCTCTAGATGGCTCAAAGTTAGGTGGCTCAAGGTTAGATGGCTCAAGGTTAGATGACTCAAGGTTAGATGGCTCATGGTTAGGTGGCTCAAGGTTAGATGGCTCAAGGTTAAGTGGCTCAATGTTATGTGGCTCAAGGTTAGATGGTTCAATGTTAGATGGCTCAAGGCTACAAGGCTAGATGGCTCAAGGTTAGATGGCTCAAGGTTAGATGGCTCAAGCAGAATTTCTTCCAGGCATCTCTTCGAGGGGGGGGGGGCGAAGAAAGTCTACCGCCCCCCCCCCCCCGAACAATATGGAATTTATATAGTAAACATGCACTTTTACTAGAATACGCCCCCACCCCCCCCTCCCCCCGTAAAATGTAGACCGCCCCCCCCCCCCGAAAATATCAAGTGCCCCTCCCCCCCCCCCCCGGAGAAAAAAGTCTGGAAGAAACACTGGGCTTAAGATTAGATGGCTCAAAGCTACTAGATGGCTCAGGTAACCAAATATTTTCAGTCGTGTTACTCATTTATAAACAAAGATAATTCCTATAAATAAATAAAAAATAAAACTCTGTTTAGTTAGTTGGCTCTTGTCTAATTTGGCTGTAAATTAACCACATGAATTAGACGACAAATGGTATGCTGATAAACAAACGTATACCACGATTTGAGGGGGTCAACCCCGTCCCATGTGATAGTGTCAATGCTGAAGTTAACATTATTTTAATTTAAGCCTACAACAAACAATAGGCCGCATTCAGAGGCGTAGCGACCCTTCCCGGCGCCCGGGGACAAACTTTTCGATTTTCACCCCCCTCGAGATTTCGATGTGCACCCCCCCTCCTCAAACTTTCGATTTGCACCTCCCCTCCCCTCGAGATTTCGATTTGCACCCCCCCCCCCCTCAAACTTTCGATTTGCACCCCCCTCAACCTTCCAATTTATTTTTCCAACCCATTTTGGCGCCCCTAAGGTCGGCGCCCGGGGACATATGCCCCTCCCCCCCCCCCTCGCTACGCTACTGGCCGCATTTGCGTGGTTCGCTCCGCATTACGCTAAATCTTTACCCTAGGTTGCACGCGATCTAAAAAAACTAGAAATCATATTAAGCTGTAGATCTATACAAAAATGGTAAATAAATAAAGAAGTAGATCTAGTGTAAGATTGATAATGATAATTGGTTCTTCAGAGTCACAGTTATGCTTTCGTTTTACTGGGGGGGGGGGGATTTATCAAGTAAGCCCGAATAAGGCCTAAACACTTTCAAAAATAGAAATGTTTTATTAATTAAAAACCTTTTCGTAGTTTACATTTTCCTATGAGTCTTTTCTAATAGAAAAATTTTGATTGGCTTCATTTTCAGAATCAGCCAATTAAAATAGGTTTCCCAAACTGTCTTAGGTAGCGTATTTGTTAACAAGATGGCGACCAGTCATGGTTATCCTAAATGGTTACTAAATTCCAAAGAAGATATTACGAAATCTAAGGTAAGTATAATATTCCATTAGGCCTGTATTGGATTAGCTCAGAGCTAGATCTGTAGTTACTAGTTAGTTATTTAATATTTATAGTAGAGATCTAGAGATAGACTGACCCTAGACCTGCTCAGGTGATCACGACTGACTGAGCTGATGAGTAAACTCAGTAAACTGAGTAAACTGGTACCTAAACTGTTTAGGTTTAATTAGTAAACAAAGTACACAGTTTCGTTACAAAGACATGAGTCATGAGTTTTGGCATAGGCCTAATATATTATATAATAATTTATTTAATGAATTACTAGGTAAAGATCTAATCAGTTATTGAATGGTAGGCTAATCTTTATTAGTTTAGTAGTCTCGATTACTTTAACCTTTAGTTTTAGCAGTAGTGATGAGTCGAGTGGTAGTCTTAAGTTTAGTTTTTGTAGTAGTACTTCTCCCAGTAGCCTAGTTTTAGAAGTTTTAGTTGTAATAGAAGTATATGAATGAATCATAAATACTTAAATATTGTAGTAGGCTAGGTTTTTAAAAGCAATACTTCTACAGGTAGTTGCCTGTCTGACTCAAATTAGTTTAAACTGTTTCCCAATTTTAACTAACTGAAACTTGTCTGAAACCAATTGATAATACCTTTTAATACGTGAATCTGTTAGGCAGTAAAATACAATATTAATATGCATTACCTGTGTACTTTCAGGCAATAGCATGTTTTTTTAAACTTATGTTTTTGGTTAGATACATGCTTGTCTTGGTTGTTATTTGTAAAATAGGAATAGTGAGATAAAAATAGACCTAGATTGATCCAGTAGTATTAATTTAAAAAAAAATGTTATCTTGAATATCTGTAATGTACTGTAAAATTGCATTCTCAAAAATATGTAACAATTGGTATTGTTCAAGACATCTTCAGGAGAATTATTTTTAAAGTCTAATGTAAAATTCATTTTTATACAGCGTTACTAAGGCAACAGTTTAAAGCTGTAGGTCAAGTGACACATTATGCGTTATTTCTAATTTTACTTTAACCATATATAAATGCTACAGTTGAATAAAATGCTTTAGCCATAAGTTAAAGTAATAATAATTCTAAATCAGGAAATTAAAATTACTACAGTACTTTTGGTTGTAAATAATAATCCAGATAACATATCTACATTTAAAATTGTATGTGTGGCGTAAAACAATGTGTGGTGTTTTTGCGTTTCTTTTAATATTGTCTTGTATGTTGTACGCCAGGAGTGGAACTCATTTGTCCATGAACTCCACGAGGCCGTACAGCAACAGTTGACAGAGAGCCATGTCCAGTACTTCACAGACTTATCAGATGCTGAAAAAGAGCTCTTTATGCAGAGAGCAACTAAGGCTTTGGAAGGAGGTGATTCATTTAGATTTTACCTGCATCAATTAGCATTACAAACTTAATAGCTTACATATAAGTCGTGTTGCCATTATATATATATATATATATATATATATATATATATATATATATATATATATATATATATATATGTTACCGAGTGTATTCGCAGCGCCAAATGTTACCGAGTGTATTTACTCGCAGTGCCAAATGTTACCGAGTCTATTTACTTGTGCTATCTTTGACCAGCACACAACATCAACCACAATATAGATACTCGGAAGTGCAGGTTTACATTTATCTCTTTATTAAATGAATCAATAGAAATGCTCCACATAGCAAGGCATCAATGTTCCACAAGAATACAATGAACCAACTGACCCCCACTGTCCTCACTAGTTCTCACATATCAGAATACATGGTTCAGGCTTCATACCTTATTCTCTCGAATGGAAACACGTATCTACAGTTCAGGCTTCCACAACTGTTCTCAACTGTCCCGTCTCCTTCTGTCCTGCCCTCTCCTTATATCGCTTCCCAAAATACGCAGTCGCCTTGTATTCATAATCGATTCTATTCGTTTCATCATAGCTATTAACTCCGCACTTCTGTCGTGCCATCCTATTATTAGACTTTTGTTTCTAATTCTGTCACACCACCTGCATCCGTTGCGTCAGACTGTATTGCGTTCTTATCAATAGTCTTTAGTAACTACACTAGTTACATATATATATATATATATATTTATATATATATATATATATATATATATATATATATATATATATATATATATATATATATATATATATATATATATATATTAATCCCACTGCTAATCCTAAGTAAAATTATCCATAAACCACTATACAGAGATATGAGTATAGCTAATGTTTAAGACCACAAAAATGTCTTGTTCAAAACCATAATGACCTGTGTGTTCTCATGTATGCTATATCAATTATTCCTGACTGCAATGGTAGAGACACAACTGATAAGCTCATGGAACAAAACTTTGAATTTAAAAAAAACTTTAAATAAATACTTTATTTACAAGTGAACTAAAAAAATATTGAAATAAAATGTAGATTAAGTAATATGAATGAACTCACAAAACATCCTTATTAGTTTCTATGCCTACTTTGTTGTTTAGTCCAGTCGCATTTTAATCTACTCCATGACAGACTACTTGATATCCTTAGATTGGTGTTGTAAAACTTCAAATAAAATGTAGATTACTTGATATCCTTAGATTGGTGTTGTAAAACTTCAGATAAAATGTAGACTACTTGATATCCTTAGATTGGTGTTGTAAAACTTCAAATAAAATGTAGACTACTTGATATCCTTAGATTGCTGTTAATTGATTTCTTGTGTTAAAAATTGTGTTGAGTTTTTATTATGTTTTACAGGGTCGTCGTCCAAAAATTTGTTCACCAAAGTTTCAAGCGTGATGGACCAGCGCTTGAATGATGAGGTCAGTCAACAGCTGATGGATGACAACCCCACAGGTTGGCCAAATATTCAGTTTTTAGACTTTATTTTTTAATTATACCATCATATTCATAATGCTGCGATAACACTAGAAGGGTTAATATGTTTATATACTTGGATAAAGTAAAACATGTGAGAATAATATTTCAAAATCATCATTTGTGGAATACAGGTACAAAATCTGACCTTGTGGTTGAATCTGCTCATGAAGGCGTCATAAGCCTGTTGAAGCGCTGGCCAGATATGAAGAGTAAACTCCACATCTGCTTTAACCAGCCACTGGTAGAGCCACTGAGGCAACTGGCCTGGCAGCTCTATCTAAGTAACCCTAGAGGTGGGTCTCACATTGTGGAAGGTTAAATTAACTGTAAAATTCTTCTAGTGGTGGGACTTACTTACATTATGTAAGGTTACATTTTCTTGAAGGTTAATTGACTAATAATGGAATTATTAAAATAAATCTGCACAATTCTTATAAATAGTGCTGTTAAATGTATGTTGAAAATTTTTTACTTAAAAGCTTACATAAAATAAAACTACTTATAAATCCACGTAACTGATCTGTGCCCAATCAAAATACAGGCATCGTTCCCTAAGGCCAATTTTTACTCACCTTCATGCTCATTACATCATTACAAACAATGGATGCCCCAAAATAACATGTCCACTCTCCACCTTCCATTACAAATCATATTAATGAACATTATCATGTTTTTCATGGTTCTGTCCATTCAATAAAATACTACTCTGCCAAATGACACTTCTAAATTCCACACCTTCATGACAAATTGTCACCAAAGTCTGACACCCTGACATATTGTACAAAAAGTGTGACACCCTTGTAACAGAAGCATTATATCATTTATGTACAATATACAAGCATAAAACTATGTATATCTACTAACATGCTTTAAATGATGTAGCGTCTATTAACTCAAATTATAACCTAGCTTTGATGGGACTAGATGACTTACATTTATTTATCTACTAAAACTTCTAGTTACTAACTCTGGCAATGGCATGGTCAACCAATGGTAAGGTCAGTTCATGCATTCAGTGTCTAGATTTCTTAACTTCACAAATGTTTCCATTCAGTGTCTAGATTTCTTAAAACTTCACAAGTTCATGCATTCAGTGTCTAGATTTCTTAACTTTACAATTCTGTTAAACTGTTTTATTACTCATAGTTTGATTTGTGTTAATAAAATTTTGTTTCAAAGTCAAAAGAAAAGATTCAATACCTAGACAACTTTAACTTTTTTTTCTCTAGATAATAAAATAGTACAAAAAAATTTAAATTAATTATCAGGGATGCGATGTATTTATTTAAAATTTGTTTAAAAAAAAATCTTAATTAAAATGCATTGATTAAAAAGTTTCATTAAGACTGTTTATTAATTAAAACACTATAAACAGTTATTGTACTAGCCTATATATTATTATAAAAAAAATAGTAGACTAAGTATTGGAAGGTCTACCATTTTATTAGGCATTTTTTGATTATTTAAAAAAAAACAACTGTTTTGTTATGAGTAATTAATGTTAGCCATTTTTTGTTGAACATTTATGGAAGTTTTGATTTTCTATACAGTTTTTTCTATTTTACAAAACTGTACACATACAATATTTTTTTTGGCACTTATCTTTGGTATCATGTTGTTTGATGTTGTTCCCCTCACATAAAAGTACCCTTGTCTATTACAGATATCTTTACACTTTGCTAACAAAGCTTGTTGTTGTAAACATTTTAAAAAAATATGTTTACTGCTCTCTAGTTCTAGACATTATGTTGTGACGTTATGTTGTGACATTTTTAATGTGCTGTAATCACAAGTAACAAAGCCACAGTTCCTGTTGGTTGTTTTAGCCCTTTGGTCACATGACACTTATCATCCAATCCACAAACTTCCGCACTGAGAAGGGGTGATCAAGACACTGGGAAAGTGAATTTGAAATGTTTTTTTAAACCTGATTTACTTTATGTATCTTAAATAAACAACCCCATTAAAAACTGTATGCATCTTGTAAAAACCACGGTAAAGCCCCAAGCTCCATATTTATATTAAGAAATACATTTGTAAATATTTAAGTGTATTTTATGTTGAAATCATCTTGCTGCTTGTTTAAGGATGTGTGTCCTACTTTCATCAGTCAGAGAAATTTGTTTATTTGTTAAATGATATGTGTCTTAGTTTTATCAGCTAGGAAAAACTAGGTTGACCTGTTAAATGCTATGTGTCCTACGTGTATCAGCCAGAATTTTTTTTGTTGATTTGTTAATGATGTGTGTCCTACGTGTATCAGTCAGAAAAATCTTTGTTGATTTGTAAATGATGTGTGTCCTACTTCTATCAGCCAGGAAAATCTATGTTGACCTGTTAAATGAAAACCCGCGGGCTGCCATGTCACCTTTAGACCTGGAGATCTCACAGAAAGTGGAGCAGATGGTTCTGTCTGAAACAACATTTGCTGAACTCAAGGGATCTGTGGGTATGACCAGGTTGGGCGGGGGGTGGGGGGGGGGGGCAGGGGGGGGGGAATCTCACAGAAAGTGGAGCAGATGGTTCTGTCTGAAACAACATTTGCTGAACTCAAGGGATCTGTGGGTATGACCAGGTGGGGGGAGGGGGGGGGGGGCAGGGAATCTCACAGAAAGTGGAGCAGATGGTTCTGTCTGAAACAACATTTGCTGAACTCAAGGGATCTGTGGGTATGACCAGGTGGGGGGAGGGGGGGGGGGGCAGGGGATCTCACAGAAAGTGGAGCAGATGGTTCTGTCTGAAACAACATTTGCTGAACTCAAGGGATCTGTGCCAGGTGGGGGGAGGGGGGGGGCAGGGGGATCTCACAGAAAGTGGAGCAGATGGTTCTGTCTGAAACAACACATGCTGAACTCAAGGGATCTGTGGGTATGACCATTGTTGGGGGGGGGGGGTGTCTTCTTAAGTTTTATGTTCTCTATCTGTTTTGATAATCTTTAGCAAAGATGAAGTAGAGTTCATATGTTATTGTGATCTAATTATAAGATGGATTGTGTGATCATGACTTAGCCCAGCTCCCTTTACTTTCCCCAATTAAAGCCAGGTACCCATTAGAGCTGAGTGCAATCAGTGGAGAACTATAGCCTCTCTGTATATTAGTTACCACAATGGGGGTATTTTAAAATATTGAAATAGAAGGTTTTTACAGCAACACTTCAAACTTAGATATTTAACAATAATTAATTAAATTTTTCCCATATTAATATTGCCATAGTTATGCGTACTTTGTTTTGTCTAGATAATTGTTTTATTTTATGGGCTACAAAGAGTTTTCTCTCTGACCTTAGGTGCCTTCTATGCGATGAAGGCCACTTTGTCGTACCATCATGCTAGACAGCAGACCAGCAACAGGCTGAAGGACATTGACTATTTTCTTGTTGTACCTTTTGTGGTAGTTGCTAGCAGTAACATTTCCAGGTAACTCTTCACACAGAAAGTAAACAAAACTGTTCAGTGTATTGTATTCATGCTGACAATTGTTTGGATTTAATATTTAGTCCTTTTTTTTAGACACTGTTTGCCATATTTAGGTACACTTAGGACTATACATCTTTAAATAATCTGCTATGATGGGATGTTACATTTTCTCTAGATCTTTATACGCCCTGCTATAATGAGATGTTACATAAGTCTAGATCTTGATATACCCGGCTGTAATGTTACATAAGTCTCTAGATCTTGATATGACCTCACTGCTGTAATGTTACAAAAGTTTCTAGATCTTGATATGCCATGCTGTAATGTTACATAAGTCTCTAGATCTTGATATACCCTGCTGTAATGTTACATAACTCTCTAGATCTTGATATACCCTGCTGTAATGTTACATAAGTCTCTAGATCTTGATATACCCTGCTGTAATGTTACATAAGTCTCTAGATCTTTAAATGACCTGCTATAATGAGATGTTGTTTACAATTCTTAACATAGGCGAGAACCTGCTTCAGGTAAACTTGTGGCACTTCTGGTGGAAGAATACCTGACCTATTTAAGTACACGACCTGGCTTTGTCATAGATTCTGGATCTCAGGTAGGATTAAAATAAAAAGTTAAATCATGGTGGAAGAAAGCTGTGAAACAATTATTAATTTGTAGTTCTTCTGTGTGCAGCTTCACAATGAAGAGATGAAAGGATTTGTCAATAAAGTGGCTGTAATACTAGAGAAACATTATCCTGATGTGTCGACCGTCATCTCCAAGACATACATCCCAGCCAGAGGTAGGTGGAGTGTTGAGTTTCTGATAGGGTAATGTGACCATCTGAGAAAGGGTTATGTAAATATCATGTTAAACAAATATATATATATATATATATATATATATATATATATATATATATATATATATATATATATATATATATATATATATATATATGAACTAACATTGATAAACTCTTACACAGATAACCTAGAATTTCAAATGATAGAAATATTGGTAAATGTCTTCAAAGATTGTAAATCATGTTATTATTGGACCAATTTTTCTGTAAATTATGTTATGATTGGACCAATTTTTCAGAGAAAATTATCGCCACAGAGAAGGGCTCTCGAGCTTTGTTGTTGGAAGGTCTGCAGGAACTTATTCGACCGATGGTACGCACCATGCTAATAGGTAACAGTTAGTTAGTGCAGGGTGCTAATAGGTAACAGTTAGTTAGTGCAGGGTGCTAATAGGTAACAGTTAGTTAGTGCAGGGTGCTAATAGGTAACAGTTAGTTAGTGCAGGGTGCTAATAGGTAACTGTTAGTTAGTGCAGGGTGCTAATAGGTAACAGTTAGTTAGTGCAGGGTGCTAATAGGTAACAGTTAGTTAGTGCAGGGTGCTAATGGGTAACAGTTAGTTAGTGCAGGGTGCTAATAGGTAACAGTTAGTTAGTGCAGGGTGCTAATAGGTAACTGTTAGTTAGTGCAGGGTGCTAATGGGTAACTGACAGTTAGTGCAGGGTGCTAATGGGTGACAGTTATTGCAGGGTGCTAATGGGTGACAGTGCAGGGTGCTAATGGGTTACAGTGCAGGGTGCTAATGAGTAACTGACAGTCAGTTAGTGTAGGGTGCTAATAGGTATCAGTGAGTTAGTGCAGGGTGCTAATGGGTAACAGTCAGTGCAGGGTGCTAATGGGTAACAGTTAGTGCGGTGTGATAATGGGTAACAGTGCAGGCAGTGGCGTAGCGAGGTCGGGTGTCACCCGGTGCGGCACTTAATGGCGTCACCCCCCAGAGGCGTAGCGACCCTTCCCGGGTACAAACTTTCAAATTTTTGATTTGCACCCCCCTCAAACTTTCGATTTGCACCCCCCCCCTCAAGTTTTTGTTGGCGTAGCGACCCTTCCCGGGTACAAACTTTCAAATTTTTGATTTGCACCCCCCTCAAACTTTCGATTTGCACCACCCCCCTCAAGTTTTTCTCTATATATTTTGCTATTTTTTGTCTTGGTGTCACCCCCCTAAATGGTGTCACCTGGTGCGGTCCGCACCCCCGCCCCCCCCCCCCTCGCTACGCCCCTGAGTGCTGGGTGCTATTGGGTAACAGTTAGTGCAGGGTGCTATTGGGTAACAGTGCTGGGTGCTAATGGGTGACTGTCGATGTGTGCCGTGAACTAATGAGTTACAGCCAGTCAATACAGGGGTTCAGTAGAATAAACAAAGATCTAGACCAAAACTTTAGCTTTGAAAAAATCAATTACTTCTCTTTTAGCTTTAAAATTTCCAAAATTACTGTGTGTGGAATAATGTGTGTGAAATTTTGTGTGTGGGAGAGTAATGTGTGGATAAAGGCAAAAAAAAAACGTTTGTTTTTAATATTAATTATGTTTCTAGTTTAATTTATTAAAACTTAATTCCAATCCAGGTTATTTGAACTTTGAAACTCTTCTGTTTGTGTGGGACCAGTACATCATTGGTCTAGATGTGCCAGGTTTTAGTGCGGAGTGGCTGTCTGTTGCCATAGCAACCCTTCTGGGCCTCGAACATGAAAAGCTAAAAGATTGTCAATCTGTAAGTTTTTGTTGGCAAATATTCTATTTAAAAACTCTAAATAAATTTGTTTTGCAGTGTTATAATCTACAATTAAAAAATTAAGATAACCATTTTATTTTTACATCGTGACTTTCCTTGTGATTCTTGCTTATATGAATTACCACATGTCATCAACTGTTCTAAATTTCCGTCCCCCCACCCCCTTCCACCACCCAGCCCCTGGCCATGGAGGCTGTGTTAAACAGGGAAAGTCCTCACCTGACTGTACAGCAGTTTCAGTATCAGGTCAGTCAAACAGTGGTCATTTTATTTAGTCAGTCAAACAGTGGACATTTTATTTAGTCAGTCAAACAGTGGACAGTCAAATGGTGGACATTTAAAGTCAGTCAGATGTTGGACATTGTTAGTCAGTCAAATGGTGGACATTTTTAGTCAGTCAAATGGTGGACATTTTAAGTCAGTCAAACAGTGGACATTTTATTTAGTCAGTCAAACAGTGGACATTTTAAGTCAGTCAAACAGTGGACATTTTATTTAGTCAGTCAATGGTGGACATTTTATTTAGTCAGTCAAATGGTGGACATTTTATTTAGTCAGTCAAATGGTGGACATCTTATTTAGTCAGTCAAATGGTGGACATTTTAAGTCAGTCAAATGTTTGACATTTTATTTTAAGTCAGTCAAATGGTGGACATTTTTTTAAAAAGTCAATCAAATGTTGGACATTTTAAGTCAGTCAAATGTGGACATTTTATTTAGTCAGTCAAATAGTGGACATTTTAAGTCAGTCAAATGGTGGACATTTTTTATAAAAGTCAGTCAAATGGTGGACATCTTTTTTAAAGTCAGTCAAATGGTGGACATTTTTTTAAAGTCAGTCAAATTGTGGACATTTTTTTAATGTCAGTCAAATGTTTGACATCTTATTTAGTCAGTCAAATGGTGGACATTTTAAGTCAGTCAAATGTTTGGCATTTTATTTTAAGTCAGTCAAATGTTTGACATTTTATTTTAAGTCAGTCAAATGGTGGACATTTTTTTTAAAAGTCAATCAAATGTTGGACATTTTAAGTCAGTCAAATGTGGACATTTTATTTAGTCAGTCAAATAGTGGACATTTTAAGTCAGTCAAATGGTGGACATTTTATGTAGTCAGTCAAATAGTGGACATTTTTAGTCAGTCAAATGTGGACATTTTAAGTCACTCAAATGGTGGACATTTTTTTTAAAGTCAGTCAAATGTGGACATTTTAAGTCAGTCAAATGGTGGACATTTTATTTTAAGTCAGTCAAATGGTGGACATCTTTTTTAAAGTCAGTCAAATGGTGGACATTTTTTTAAAGTCAGTCAAATTGTGGACATTTTTTTAATGTCAGTCAAATGTTTGACATCTTATTTAGTCAGTCAAATGGTGGACATTTTAAGTCAGTCAAATGTTTGACATTTTATTTTAAGTCAGTCAAATGGTGGACATTTTTTTAAAAAGTCAATCAAATGTTGGACATTTTAAGTCAGTCAAATGTGGACATTTTATTTAGTCAGTCAAATAGTGGACATTTTAAGTCAGTCAAATGGTGGACATTTTTTTAAAGTCAGTCAAATGGTGGACATTTTTTTAAAGTCAGTCAAATGTGGACATTTTAAGTCAGTCAAATGGTGGACATTTTTTTTAAAGTCAGTCAAATGTGGACATTTTAAGTCAGTCAAATGGTGGACATTTTATTTTAAGTCAGTCAAATGGTGGACATCTTTTTTAAAGTCAGTCAAATGATGGACATTTTTTCATGGTCAGTCAAATTGTGGACATTTTTTTAATGTCAGTCAAATGTTGGACATTTTTTCATGGTCAGTCAAATGGTGGACATTTTATTTTTAAGTCAGTCAAATGTTGGACATTTTTTTCAAAGTCAGTCAAATGGTGGACATTTTATTTAAAGACAGTCAAATGGTGGACATTTTAAGGTAGTCAAATGGTGGACATTTTTTTATAGTCAGTCAAATGTGGACATTTTAAGTCAGTCAAATGTGGACATTTTAAGTCACTCAAATGGTGGACATTTTTTTTAAAGTCAGTCAAATGGTGGACATCTTTTTTAAAGTCAGTCAAATGGTGGACATTTTTTTAAAGTCAGTCAAATTGTGGACATTTTTTTAATGTCAGTCAAATGTTTGACATCTTATTTAGTCAGTCAAATGGTGGACATTTTAAGTCAGTCAAATGTTTGACATTTTATTTTAAGTCAGTCAAATGGTGGACATTTTTTTAAAAAGTCAATCAAATGTTGGACATTTTAAGTCAGTCAAATGTGGACATTTTATTTAGTCAGTCAAATAGTGGACATTTTAAGTCAGTCAAATGGTGGACATTTTTTTAAAGTCAGTCAAATGGTGGACATTTTTTTAAAGTCAGTCAAATGTGGACATTTTAAGTCAGTCAAATGGTGGACATTTTTTTTAAAGTCAGTCAAATGTGGACATTTTAAGTCAGTCAAATGGTGGACATTTTATTTTAAGTCAGTCAAATGGTGGACATCTTTTTTAAAGTCAGTCAAATGATGGACATTTTTTCATGGTCAGTCAAATTGTGGACATTTTTTTAATGTCAGTCAAATGTTGGACATTTTTTCATGGTCAGTCAAATGGTGGACATTTTATTTTTAAGTCAGTCAAATGTTGGACATTTTTTTCAAAGTCAGTCAAATGGTGGACATTTTATTTAAAGACAGTCAAATGGTGGACATTTTAAGGTAGTCAAATGGTGGACATTTTTTTATAGTCAGTCAAATGGTGGACATTTTTTTAAAGTCAGTCAAATGTTGGACATTTTTTTCCTGGTCAGTCAAATGGTGGACATTTTAAGTCAGTCAAATGTGGACATTTTAAGTCAGTCAAATGGTGGACATTTTTTTAAAAGTCAGTCAAATGGTGGAAATTTTTTTTAAAAGTCAGTCAAATGGTGGACATTTTTTTCATGGTCAGTCAAATGGTGGACGTTTTATTTTAAAGTCAGTCAAATGGTGGACATTTTATTTAAAGTCAGTCAAATGTTGGACATTTTATTGAAACAGTCAATCTACTTTTAGACATTTTGTTGGTTTTTAAAGATTTCATGTCCAATATGTCTTTTATTTTTTTCCGTGCTTAATTAATGACATTTCCATTATTGTATACTTATTTTTTATCATATCCTAAACCAAATTAGACTAAATTGTTTCTAGCATTGAAGAATTTTTCTGCTGTTTGTACCAGATCAAGAGGTACCACTACAGAGAACTGTTTGCCATGCTGACCGCTGACCAGAAGGCTGCAATGCCAGTCCTTGACCCCACACAGTGTAGGACTTTAAAAATATTGTTGCAATAAGACATGTTGTATATTTTATACTAGACATTTTTATTTTATAGAAAAGATAGCAGTGTTTTTTAAACTCAGCACAAACCCACACTTTACATATTTTATACCTCCCACCCTCCCATAATTTATACCATCCACCCTCCCATATTTTATACCTCCCACCCTCCCATAATTTATACCATCCACCCTCCCATATTTTATACCATCCACCCTCCCATATTTTAAACCTCCCACCCTCCCATATTTTATACCTCCCACCCTCCCATAATTTATACCATCCACCCTCCCATATTTATACCTTCCACCCTCCCATATTTTATACCTCCCACCCTCCCATAATTTATACCATCCACCCTCCCATATTTTATACCTCCCACCCTCCCATATTTTATACCATCCACCCTCCCATATTTTATACCTCCCACCCTCCCATAATTTATACCATCCACCCTCCCATATTTTATACCATCCACTCTCCCATATTTTATACCTGCCACCCTCTCATATTTTATACCATCCACTCTCCCATATTTTATACCTGCCACCCTCCCATATTTTATACCTTCCACCCTCCCACCCTCCCATATTTATACCTCCCACCCTCCCATATTTTATACCTTCCACCCTCCCACCCTCCCATATTTATACCTCCCATATTTTATACCTTCCACCCTCCCACCCTCCCATATTTTATACCTTCCACCCTCCCACCCTCCCATATTTATACCATCCACCCTCCCATCCTTGACAGCCATCCACCCACCATGGAGACACTGGTACAACGACCAGATCCCCCCCTACACAAAACCTCAGGACCGACCATCCACCCTCCCATATTTTAACCTTCCACCCTCCCATATTTTAACCTTCCACCCTCCCATATTTTAACCTTCCACCCTCCCATATTTTATACCCTTTAACCCCCCCATACTTGACAGCCATCCACCCACCATGGAGACACTGGTACAACGACCAGATCCCCCCCTACACAAAACCTCAGGACAGACGCAAGGCCAGGGAGGAGAGGGAAGCAGAGAGAGAGAGGTAAACATCTTTTGTTTCGCTTTTGTTGCATAGATAGTTTTTACAAGTTTTTGTGTTGCTATTTATAACTACATGAAGTTTTGTCTTGTTGATGTTTTATGGATAGTCTTACGTGAAATATTGAAACAAGAAATCATCATTTAAAGCTGGACATCCCAGTAAAAGAAATCCTTTAACATTCTGTTAAAGAACCTACTTTATTAAAAAAATTTTTAGCTCATGAAAAGTTTAGCATTTTTTATTAGTTTCTGAAGAAAATTTTCTTAAGCTGGTAATAAAACTAAACTGATCACTAAGAAAATGTTGTTAAGCTGGTAATAAAACTAAACTGACCACTAAGAAAATGTTGTTAAGCTGGTAATAAAACTAAAATGACCACTTTCTCCAGACTACTACAGCAGCAGAGAGATGCAGAAAGGTTAAAGAAAGAAGCAGAGCTCAGGGACAGAAGGTGAAGGTCATCTATGTTGTTTACCTACCCTCTATCAGACTACTTATGTTTGTTTGCTTGCAATATTTTTAAGGTGTTTTTTGTTTTATAATTTTTTTTAGAAAAATCTCCATCATAGGTTTATGTTTTATAATTCAAGAATCAGTTGGAATTAAATTTGTTTGAGTTATATCAGACTTCATGATATTTATCATTTGTTTATGGTTTATGTATAGTTTATTTAGACTTTATTTTATTCAAGCGGTTGTTTCTCCCCAGGGTGACTGAAGGGGAGATGATCAAATCTACAGTTGAGGAGAGGGCTAGGCTGGACAGGGAGAGAATTGAGTTGGAAAACCAACTTCAGGAGGTCGGTAGAGTTAAGGGTCCTGATAGCTCAAAATCAACTACAAAAAGACAATTTATTTTTTTATAAGCTTATTATTTAACTAGCCGAATGATAATAAATGATACATTTTAAAGTATATTCGAGGGGTCGGCGTGGTCGAGTCGGTAAAGCTCATGGTTGCTAAACCGAAAAGTCTCGAGTTCGAACCCTCGGGCAGATGAGGCTCGTTAGCTGTGGGACAGCCACTCTTCTAGGAGAGACAACTCCAAAATTAAACAACTGCTGCCTTGTAGTTTGTTCTTGGTTGGACAAAGGCTATGGAAGCAAATCCAAAAAGAAAAGCAGGCTGAAATCGGAGTCAATGGCCTCAATGGCGCATAACCAGTTGACACGTAACGCTTAATTGTGTTGGAGGCGTGGTCGAGTCGGCAAAAAAAAGCTCATGGTTGATAAATTCGAACAAAGTCTCGAGTTCAAACCCACTGGCAGATAAATCTCGATCCCCTTCAACACTAATAATTAAGAACGAAGAAGAAGAAGAAAAAAAGTATATTCTTTAAAATTTTGAATAGAAAGCACATTAAAATATGAATCATTATTATATTTGTCAATCTGTCATCTGATAAAATTTTCAGGAAAGAAGAAAACGACTGGACGCAGAGAGGCGAGCTCAGGAGGAGATTGAACAGTTGCGCAGGGAGCTAAATCTTTTGAAGAAACCTCCTGTCAGTATACTTGGTTATATTCTAATTATCTTCCTTTATCCAGTAATTGTACTTAGTTGTATTCAAATCAGAGGCGTAGCGAGGGTGGGGCAGGGGGGGGGGGGGGGGGGTGACACAGTTTGGGGGGTGACACCATGGCAAAAAAATGCAAAATGTACAGCAGAAACTTGTTTTTTTGCCTGTTCCATTAATGATTTAAGTTAAATAGTTATATATATATATATATATATATACTTTGTTTCTGGTGAGGGGGTGACACCACGAAGTGCCACACCGGGTGACACCGACCTAGTAACGCCATTGATTCCAGTGTCTTGTTTTTAAATCATATCTTTTTATAAACCATTGTACTGTTTAATGCAATATATTGTCTCTAGTTATGCCACTAGGGAACATTTATACAGTTTTAGTGATAAACTAAACCAGGCAACACACAAGCTGTGAATCAATTATAAAGCAACAACATCTGTTTGTATTCTACAAAGAAAATATATATCTATTCCTAATCCAGTATCCTGTTTTATCCAATAGTTATTTATTTAATGTTATTTCTGTATATTTTGACATTGTACAACTATTTTTTTGTCATCATTTCTTTTAGAAATCTCCAAATCCATCTTTGTTCAGCACTGCTTCCTATGTCAGGTACCATAAGACAGCTTATCATTAAATTAATTAACTAATTATATTCAGTAACTAATTAGTCAGTCTTTGATAAAGAAACTAGGGCTTTACGTTATGTATTTTACACAATGAATCAAGTTAACAGATGACAAAGTTAACTAACGGAATATTTCTTCATTCACACCCAACTGACAACCATGTTCACTAACTTATTTCCCCCTCCCCCAGCCGCATGTTGATACCTCCTCCCCCAAGTCCAGCCTCTGCAATGACCACCATCCCAGAATCCCCCTCCCACACCCCCGCCCCATCGCTCAACCCCAGGGCTCAAGCTGATGAGGTCATGTTTGATTTTCTCGCCAAGATCAGGAAAAGTATGGACAAAAGTGAGTACACAAGTCGTTTCTTCCTGCTAAACAAACAAGTGTTAGTGGACTCTATAGAGGAAGTAGAGTTCTTCTGTTCCTGAGGCTATCATGAACCTGTTTCCCTGCTTACAACTGCTTGTCAGGTGCCTGCAAATCTGTGAAAAAAAAATGTTCTAGACTTCTGAGTTTATCTGTCCTTTAACTGTTTCATGCAGTAGAACTTCCCTAACTTGTACCTGTGTTCCTCATCCTTCTTCCATCAACTGTAACATCACATTGTTTCCTGATGTATTTTTTTTATAATGGATGAGCAGACTGAATATCTACCTGCATTTAATGTTTGAATACAAGTCGGTCAGCCTTTACCAATATTTTTTTTACAAATACCTTCAGTGTCTGGTCTATATTGTACTCTTAACTTTCCAGAACAAATGTTCTGTGACAAGTTTTTCAAGTTTTTTGTCCTGTCTCACACTGCATACACTGGAACTAATCCAATCCATACATGCACTGGAAAACCACCAATAACTTTTTACAACCAACCACTACACCCCTCCACCTCATGTATGAAATTACAACCAACCACTACACCCCACCACCCAATGTATGAAATTACAACCAACCACTTCACCCCACCACCCCATGTATGACATGACCTTCACCACGTGACCTTGACCTCACCAGTTGCAAGCGGTGAAGGCCCAGAGGCCGAGTACCTGGACAAGGAAACAGAAAAGTTTATCTCCAACAACGTGCAGGACATCAAGAGGGCTCAGGTCAGTCTGTGGGGTGGTTTTTGTGTGTGTACGTCTGTGTGGGTTAGTTGGTGTGTGGTAGACTGGGTGTGTATGCGTGTATTCATGTGTCTGTGTGTGTATTAATCATGTGTATATGTGTATGTGTTAAAGACTGTGTGTGTACACGTGTTTGTGTTTAGTGTGTGTGTGTGCACATGACAGAGGCAGGTGTAGCGACCAGTAAACCACCCTATGAAACACCTGCTTAGATGTCCGATATGATTTTCTTATCGTTTTACTCTAGGGCTAGAAGTCATTGTAACGATGATTTGGAATACACTGTCCCCAGCTAATTAACGATCATTTGGATTTTTTATGATTTTAGTTTTGAGCTTCCTGTGTGGTTTAAACGTAGTGTTTTTTGTCTGATTTAAATTTCAAATTTCGTGGGTTTTTTTGTGTCTGATTCAGTGGCGTAGCCAGGATCGTCTCAAGGGGGGGGGGGGTTCCAATTTTTACCCGGGGACAAACTTTCGATTTGCACCCCCCCTCCCTCAGACTTTCGATTTGCACCACCCCCCCCCAAACTTTCGATTTGCACCCCCCCTCAAACTTTCGATTTGCACCCCGCTCATACTTTTTATATATATACCGAGGGGTCTATGGGGGGGGGGGGGGGTGTTATGACCCCCCCTAACCCCTCCCCCTCCTGCCTACGCCACTGGTCTGATTTAAACTTCAAACTTCGTGTTTTGTATTTTGTCTGATTTAAACTTCAAACTTCGTGTTTTGTATTTTGTCTGATATAAACTTCAAACGTCGTGTTTTGTATTTTGTCTGATATAAACTTCAAACGTCGTGTTTTGTATTTTGTCTGATTTAAACTTCAAACTTCGTGTTTTGTATTTTGTCTGATTTAAACTTCAAACGTCGTGTTTTGTATTTTGTCTGATTTAAACTTCAAACGTCGTGTTTTGTATTTTGTCTGATTTAAACTTCAAACGTCGTGTTTTGTATTTTGTCTGATTTAAACTTCAAACGTCGTGTTTTGTATTTTGTCTGATTTAAACTTCAAACGTTGTGTTTTGTATTTTGTCTGATTAAAACTTCAAGCGTCGTGTTTTGTATTTTGTCTGATATAAACTTCAAACGTGGTGTTTTGTATTTTGTCTGATATAAACTTCAAACGTTGTGTTTTGTATTTTGTCTGATGTAAACTTCAAATGTCTTGTTTTGTATTTTGTCTGATTTAAACTTCAAACTTCGTGTTTTGTATTTTGTCTGATTTAAACTTCAAACGTTGTGTGTTGTATTTTGTCTGATATAAACTTCAAACGTTGTGTGTTGTATTTTGTCTGATATAAACTTCAAACGTTGTGTTTTGTATTTTGTCTGATATAAACTTCAAACGTTGTGTTTTGTATTTTGTCTGATATAAACTTGTAACGTCGTGTTTTGTATTTTGTCCGATTTAAACTTCAAACGTCGTGTTTTGTATTTTGTCTGATATAAACTTCAAACGTCGTGTTTTGTATTTTGTCTGATATAAACTTGTAACGTCGTGTTTTGTATTTTGTCTGATATAAACTTGTAACGTCGTGTTTTGTATTTTGTCCGATTTAAACTTCAAACGTCGTGTTTTGTATTTTGTCCGATTTAAACTTCAAACGTCGTGTTTTGTATTTTGTCTGATTTAAACTTCAAACTTCGTGTTTTGTATTTTGTCTGATATAAACTTCAAACGTTGTGTGTTGTATTTTGTCTGATATAAACTTCAAACGTTGTGTTTTGTATTTTGTCTGATTTAAACTTCAAACTTCGTGTTTTGTATTTTGTCTGATTTAAACTTCAAACGTCGTGTTTTGTATTTTGTCTGATTTAAACTTCAAACGTCGTGTTTTGTATTTTGTCTGATTTAAACTTCAAACGTTGTGTGTTGTATTTTGTCTGATATAAACTTCAAACGTTGTGTTTTGTATTTTGTCTGATTTAAACTTCAAACTTCGTGTTTTGTATTTTGTCTGATTTAAACTTCAAACGTCGTGTTTTGTATTTTGTCTGATTTAAACTTCAAACGTCGTGTTTTGTATTTTGTCTGATTTAAACTTCAAACGTCGTGTTTTGTATTTTGTCTGATTTAAATTTCAAGTGTCGTGTTTTGTATTTTGTCTGATTTAAACTTCAAACGTGGTGTTTTGTATTTTGTCTGATATAAACTTCAAACGTTGTGTTTTGTATTTTGTCTGATGTAAACTTCAAACGTGGTGTTTTGTATTTTGTCTGATATAAACTTCAAACGTTGTGTTTTGTATTTTGTCTGATGTAAACTTCAAATGTCTTGTTTTGTATTTTGTCTGATTTAAACTTCAAACTTCGTGTTTTGTATTTTGTCTGATATAAACTTCAAACGTGGTGTTTTGTATTTTGTCTGATATAAACTTCAAACGTTGTGTGTTGTATTTTGTCTGATATAAACTTCAAACGTTGTGTGTTGTATTTTGTCTGATATAAACTTCAAACGGTGTGTTTTGTATTTTGTCTGATATAAACTTCAAACGTTGTGTTTTGTATTTTGTCTGATATAAACTTGAAACGTCGTGTTTTGTATTTTGTCTGATATAAACTTGTAACGTCGTGTTTTGTATTTTGTCCGATTTAAACTTCAAACGTCGTGTTTTGTATTTTGTCTGATTTAAACTTCAAACTTCGTGTTTTGTATTTTGTCTGATATAAACTTCAAACGTTGTGTGTTGTATTTTGTCTGATATAAACTTCAAACGTTGTGTTTTGTATTTTGTCTGATTTACACTTCAAACTTCGTGTTTTGTATTTTGTCTGATATAAACTTCAAACGTTGTGTGTTGTATTTTGTCTGATATAAACTTCAAACTTCGTGTTTTGTATTTTGTCTGATATAAACTTGTAACGTCGTGTTTTGTATTTTGTCTGATATAAACTTCAAACGTTGTGTGTTGTATTTTGTCTGATTAAAACGTCAAGCGTCGTGTTTTGTATTTTGTCTGATTTAAACTTCAAACGTTGTGTTTTGTATTTTGTCTGATGTAAACTTCAAACGTTGTGTTTTGTATTTTGTCTGATGTAAACTTCAAACGTTGTGTGTTGTATTTTGTCTGATTAAAACTTCAAGCGTCGTGTTTTGTATTTTGTCTGATGTAAACTTCAAACTTCGTGTTTTGTATTTTGTCTGATATAAACTTCAAATGTCTTGTTTTGTTATTCAGCTGGAGGTGTTTGGCCACAGACTTCAACCGGGCGAGTTTGAGCGCATGGACGCACAGAAGCAGAAGAGATCTAGTGACCAGATCATGGAGCTCATACAAAAATGGCGGGAAGACAGGCGAGCAAGGGAGATAAAACAGGGGAGATAAAGCAGGGGGATAACTCTTGAACAAATTATTTTTGTGATTAGTTGTGAAAAAATATTATATTTTATAAAATATGATACTTATTGATTGCCAGATTGAAGTAAGTGCAGTAATTCTAAAGCATGCCAATGGAATCGTACATTGAAGGATGGCTTGTAATTATCTAATTTTGAACTTTTTGTTAAAATGGTATAATTGTAATATAATTTGTATAATTTATTGTGGTAAAACTAAGTTTGTTATACAAAATATGACTTTAAAGCTGTATCAGATTGTATATATTTTTAGTGCTCTCCATGGATCAGTAAATGTTTATACTTCACTAGAAGAAGTTTACTGTTCAAAACATTTTAAACCTGAGAGTGATCTCCCATAGAACTCCAAATTTTAAGCCTATCTGGTCAGACTTTGGTGTCTGGTGTGTCCGTCCCTTAAGGTCACCATCCCCCATAATTTCTGTGATTTGATTTTACCTGTGTATACCTTCACTGCTACAGTAAAACTGTTTTAGCTGATGTACTTTACATCTAATGTCTAAGGTACTTCCTGTGCCACTGTGAATACATCTGTACATTCCGTCCTATTCTTTTAATTTTCAGTATACAATTTTATGCATACTGTTTTATACATACAAAAAATGTCAGTTATTTAAAAGCAATTTAACTGTTTTTTACATCTATTTTTATATCGAATAAAAACAAACTAATTTTAATACTTTTCATGCATGTTACTTAATTAATGAAAGAATACATTTGACACTGTAATTTGTCTGGTGGCCGGAAAGAACCGCAACGGAAAAAAGCGCAACGGAAAAAAGCGCAAAACAAAAAGCGCAACGGAAATAAGCGCACACGGAAAAAAGCGCAAAGAGAAAAAAGCGCACACAGAAAAAAGCGCAAAGAGAAAAAAGCGCAAACGGAAAAAAGCGCAAAGAGAAAAAAGCGCACACAGAAAAAAGCGCAAACAGAAAAAAGCGCAAACGGAAAAAAGCGCAAAGAGAAAAAAGCGCACACGGAAAAAAGCGCAAAGAGAAAAAAGCGCAAACAGAAAAAAGCGCAAAGAGAAAAAAGCGCACACAGAAAAAAGCGCAAACAGAAAAAAGCGCAAACGGAAAAAAGCGCAAAGAGAAAAAAGCGCAAACGGAAAAAAGCGCAAACAGAAAAAAGCGCACACGGAAAAAAGCGCAAACGGAAAAAAGCGCAAACGGAAAAAAGCGCAAACAGAAAAAAGCGCAAACGGAAAAAAGCGCAAACAGAAAAAAGCGCACACAGAAAAAAGCGCAAACAGAAAAAAGCGCAAACGGAAAAAAGCGCAAACGGAAAAAAGCGCACACAGAAAAAAGCGCAAACGGAAAAAAGCGCAAACAGAAACAGAAAAATGCGCAACCAGAAAAAACACAACGAAAAATGTGCAAAAGAGAAATTTAGCACAAAGACCATATGGACTAGATGACACATTTATACATGACTGTTAGGGCTGCTGTGAGAGTGTCGTGTTTGATCACGTGATCTACTACCATTTAAAGCGTACCACTACCATCTGCATTCCCATCACCACGATACAGGCGATAATCACTTTACACAATGCCTATTATTTTCTTGGTCAATAATTATTCAACTACTATTCTCGTATAAACATAAAACTATCGACATTTCACGAAGTATCTTTCACATTCTCCCTAGTCCGAACTACCTAGCTTGCATACTATAACAACCCGTTCCTATGGCAAAACTTCACTCTCTTTCATCCGCGTCATCAAACATGCATTCGTCATATCTCTCGTAACAACATTCATTCGCACCAAAATAACAATTTTGTATTTAATATTTTTTCACATCATGACGCACCTACCTACCTACCTACTACCCACCTACCCACCTACCTACCTACCTACCTAACTACCCACCTACCCACTTACCCACTTACCCGCCTACATATTTACCAAACTACCCACCAAAAAAGTATCGGCGAAGTTCGTAAGTTTCGTAAACTGTACTAGACATCATTTTTTTAATGAAAATTCATTGACATCATTGACATTTGTTACATATATGTTACATTTTGCGACAACCTTAATTAGTGCGTTGGGCTTGTATGAAAACTCACTTCGAACTAACTCAATTACATGCTATTTATTTTAACATTTATAAACTTCATCTCTCTTTGTTTCTTTATAAAAAGGTTACGGAAGGTTTTTAAGGTATTTTACTGAAATGTTTACCGGACGAATGCAAAAATGATATAAACAACCATCACTCTTCTGTTATATAGGCTACATGCAGTGTTTCTTCCAGACTCCCCCCCCCCCCCTCAAACTGTCGATTGTACCCCCCCCCCCTAGAACTTTCGATTTGCATATATATATATATATATATATATATATATATATATATATATATATATATATATATATATATATACCGAGGGGTCTATTGGGGGGGGGGTTATGACCCCCCATAACCCACCCCCCCCCCGCCTACGCCACTGCATATAAGTATTCGCATAGATTTAGAGTAGCGTCCCTTTTGTTTACATGTTTTCATTACCCTTCAAACAAAAGTCTATTTTAGTTATATTGAGATTAAAGAATGTAAATAAATAGTATACACAATTCTGTAGAATAGGAACGATTGGGAGGGAAGTGACATTTAGCGCAGTAAATTTAGAGGTTAGGTAGGGTATAATAAATGGTGGGGTTAGGAAAGTTAAGGGGTCCATTCTCTAATAGGCAATCTATGTCTCTTTCGTACTTTCGTGTTGGTTTATTGTCGAACCTGTCCTCACCTTACATCACAACAGTTGGGTGACGCTTACCGTGTAATGTTAAAATAAATAGCATGTAATTGAGTTAGTTCGAAGTGAGTTTTCATACAAGCCCAACGCACTAATTAAGGTTGTCGCAAAATGTAACATATATGTAACAAATGTCAATGATGTCAATGAATTTTCATTAAAAAAATGATGTCTAGTACAGTTTACGAAACTTACGAACTTCGCCGATACTTTTTTGGTGGGTAGTTTGGTAAGTATGTAGGCGGGTAAGTGGGTAGGTGGGTAGTTAGGTAGGTAGGTAGGTAGGTGGGTAGGTGGGTAGTAGGTAGGTAGGTAGGTGCGTCATGATGTGAAAAAATATTAAATACAAAATTGTTATTTTGGTGCGAATGAATGTTGTTACGAGAGATATGACGAATGCATGTTTGATGACGCGGATGAAAGAGAGTGAAGTTTTGCCATAGGAATGGGTTGTTATAGTATGCAAGCTAGGTAGTTCGGACTAGGGAGAATGTGAAAGATACTTCGTGAAATGTCGATAGTTTTATGTTTATACGAGAATAGTAGTTGAATAATTATTGACCAAGAAAATAATAGGCATTGTGTAAAGTGATTATCGCCTGTATCGTGGTGATGGGAATGCAGATGGTAGTGGTACGCTTTAAATGGTAGTAGATCACCTGATCAAACACGACACTCTCACAGCAGCCCTAACAGTCATGTATAAATGTGTCATCTAGTCCATATGGTCTTTGTGCTAAATTTCTCTTTTGCACATTTTTCGTTGTGTTTTTTCTGGTTGCGCATTTTTCTGTTTCTGTTTGCGCTTTTTTCCGTTTGCGCTTTTTTCTGTGTGCGCTTTTTTCCGTTTGCGCTTTTTTCCGTTTGCGCTTTTTTCTGTTTGCGCTTTTTTCTGTGTGCGCTTTTTTCTGTTTGCGCTTTTTTCCGTTTGCGCTTTTTTCTGTTTGCGCTTTTTTCCGTTTGCGCTTTTTTCCGTTTGCGCTTTTTTCCGTGTGCGCTTTTTTCTGTTTGCGCTTTTTTCCGTTTGCGCTTTTTTCTCTTTGCGCTTTTTTCCGTTTGCGCTTTTTTCTGTTTGCGCTTTTTTCTGTGTGCGCTTTTTTCTCTTTGCGCTTTTTTCTGTTTGCGCTTTTTTCTCTTTGCGCTTTTTTCCGTTTGCGCTTTTTTCTGTTTGCGCTTTTTTCTGTGTGCGCTTTTTTCTCTTTGCGCTTTTTTCCGTTTGCGCTTTTTTCTCTTTGCGCTTTTTTCTGTGTGCGCTTTTTTCTCTTTGCGCTTTTTTCCGTGTGCGCTTATTTCCGTTGCGCTTTTTGTTTTGCGCTTTTTTCCGTTGCGCTTTTTTCCGTTGCGGTTCTTTCTGGGAACCAATTTGTCTATATCTCTGCACTTCTCCCCCCCCCCCCCATACAACCGAAAGCTATTTATAGACAGACGAGCTACTGTGGCGACACCTAGAGGACTAAAACCTCGAGTCCTGCACATGAACGTCTGTCATGTCATCTGGCTGTAGGACTAATAAGTGCTGTCCTCTCATGATGTTTTATCTGATGACATCATATGACATCTAACGTTTGATGAGAGGACAATGTCCTAACACAGTATTAGCACAATGTCATTACAATGCAGTAGGACATTGTTTATACAACACAACAATAGGACAATTTTCTTACAACACGCAGTAGGACAATGTCCTTACAACACACCAGTACACTGTAATCGAGCCTGAAATATTTATTAGGGTTTAATGCACCACCTTTTGGTGTTGTATTGATTTTGGTTTTTTGAATTGATTCGAGTTCAATGCCTGTATTTTCTGGGTCGCAACATTCAATCTGGAAGGGTAGGGGTGGATGGGGTGGAGGCTAGCACCTGTGCCAGGGATGGTGTGGGGGGTGGGGTGGAAGGCTAGCATCTGCGTCAGCCCCCAGACCCCCCCCCTGTGACCCACAACACACGCTCACAGCACTCCCCTAACCTACATCCCCCGTCCACCCACTCCCCTAACCTACATCCACCCTCCACCCGCTTCCCCTTCTAATCCTGGCGTCAATTATTCACCACCAAGGTCAAGGTCAGGTAGTTGGAGCAGCAGATCGCTAGCAGACATCTTATCCCGGCCTATCGTCTGCAACTTGCATGGCGGGGAAGTGGCTGGTGAAAAGTTAATGAGCCAATCAAGATTGACGCATTTGATCCGATCAAGTCGTATCAACTCACGACAAGGCTCCGGGCTGGACACCCATCAGTGGCGAGTTTTTGTGGGGAGACGAGGGGCTGTGTTCTCGTCAAGTGCCTGGGGTGTGGTCAAGTCTTGTCTTTTGGTCAAGTCTTTTGGTCAAGTCTTGTCTTTTGGTCAAGTCTTGTCTTTTGGTCAAGTCTCGTGGTTTGATCAAGCCAAATTGGATTTATGAGAAGGATACAAAGGATTAAATTTTGGCCCCAACGTTGCGAACTTTGATAGCGACATGAACGGTAAATATTGATCATTGTTTTGGTGATACTGACGATTGTTTAATGTGCAGCTTCTGTTAATATTTTCCCTAATTACATTGTCACTGTAGCTTTTTACACGGTCTGTTGATTCAGCAGCCAGTTATAAAAAAAGATTTGTGAAGAATAACCCCCAATAACTTTTTTGTGGGCAATGATCACTATGAGTACTAAATTTCTCGTGTGCAATCATTTTTTTAAAATGAGCACCATTGTGCTGTTATATTCTGGGTACTTAACATCACGCTTTGATGTGTTGTGACGTGACACCATGATGTCAGTCATATTATGATGTCATAAACCTTATCATAATGTCATCGATCTTATCATGATGTCAAATATTTTGTCATGATGTCACCCATCGCAAGATGTCATCGAAACTACGTCACATAATTTGGACTGATTAATGTTGATACAGGTTTTTAAAATGACATCTAAATTATGCCTTTTATTAAACTCTATCTAGCGTTAACTCCCCTCGTTGCTAGAATTATAAACTAGATTATTTAGCTATCAAATTTAGCTGTTCTAAAAAAACAGTCAATAAACATGAAAAACTATCTTTGTAAAAACGTTTCATTTGTGATTGACGATTCAAAAGCTAATGAATACAGCCATACAATATTTTTGTATTAAATTCGTATTTATTGTCTGTCAGAAAGTTGTAAAAAAATTATTTGACAAATATGTTTTCATTTCTCCACGTCATCAGTCATTAAGTCATCAGTCATTAAGTCATCAGTCATTATGTCATCAGTCATTAAGCTGCACAGCTTGAAGAAAAAGCGGACGTAAAATCCTTAGCATTAAAATGTCAGTTGTCATCTAAAATGTCTCCCACCAACTGGGAATCGATCCTGCATCATAATCTCGCCGGCCAAATGCAGCGCCGACACAGCCATTTATTATCTTTAAACTTTTTAAATAATACATTTCACTTTTTAATTTTTGCACACAGAGCATAAAAATATTGCCACCAACTTGTCAAATTAATTCTGGATCCAATCGATCAACTGTATACAAGCAGAGATAATTGCTGGTACAATTCAGCTGCATTTAGCTGGGTATTGGACCGATTTTGTTTAGGACTGGCTTAGTGTTATGGTCAGGATTATAGCTACAGTGACGAGAGTTAGAGCGATGTATTGTTGTAGGCAATAGACGCTAATCGACACTAAAATGAATGTTTGCAAAACAGACGACCGCGTACCCTATTTTTATTCTCATTATACTTTGATCGATTTAGCTCAAACAATGTTTACAAAAACTGATCAAAAAGAAAAAAAAAATATGACCAAATAATATTTTACGAAAATTTCTGTGAACAGACATTTTACCGTTGAACAACCGGCAATAAAATATGTTTATAATCCAGTCGTCTGCCGCGGAAAAATCTGGATAACAGGTCAGATAAACCGCATATCCGGCGACATGAGATATCCATTTTTTTTTCCTTTCAGCGCTGCATGGATAATGCATTCCCACATCTAAGTGAAGGTTTAATGTCTGGGGTGGGGGATCCCTTGTAACCCCCCCCCCCCCCCCCCATGCATTTGTATCGACCGTGGGCCACAAACTGGCAAAGAGGTAAAACTGATTCTTGTCTCAGCGAATGTCGCGTGCAGTGACCGCGTCGGATGAATGGAACCGCCCGCCGCCGTGTCCGCGCGTTGATTAGCAAAGCGCTACAACTCGTCTTGTTTATGTTAGGGGAACATGAGAACTCTCCTGTATTGGAGATATCACAAATATGAATCACAGCAGGGAAGGAGGGCGCGCCGTAGGATCAAAACAAAATATCGATAACAACAGTATCATTTCTTTGTTTTTAATCAGACGGGGTGGGGTTGGTTTGTGAAATGTGGGAACGTGGGTGTTCTTCTGAACTTCGAAAGGATTTAAACCCCATACATCAATAGCTGCATGCCTCTATTATTTAGCTGTAGGATTCCCGCTGGTACATTAGAGCTGTGGGTTTAGAACTTCTGCAGAGGGTATTGACTTTTGAAAGTATTGATTTCTGCTAGTGTCGATACAGTGAACTGGGACCTAATCTAAACCAGACTTAACTCTTATCCTTACCGTATCCTTGACCTTTACCATACCCCGATACTAACATCAAAACTGACGGGATAATACGATAGGCTTACTCTGTTCAGACTGAGTTTAAAAGGAAAGATACACTTCCTGTTGGGGGAAAATAAAACAGCGAATACAAAACCATCTCCTACACTTCACATAGTCCTAAGCTTTTGTTTTCCAAAGGATTAAAAAAAAATTAGCTGCATTTCTACGTTTAAGTCTCTACATTATGTAATAAACTACACGAACAGTAGTATTAAAGTACAACACATGAAATGATATTTTATGACACTGTATCTCTCTCCCCCCCCCCCCCACCACATATCAACGAGACAATCCAAAACAAGTTAATAAAAAGTCTAGTGACAATTTAAGCGCAATTTCCTTAATTAATTTTTTGTGACCGAACGAAAGCAGATTTTTGAAAACTTTCTTCGGCAATATTGTTCTAAATTATGGCAGGAATCGATTGGTAAATGTTTCAAGTCGCTAAGTGGTCTGGTTGCCGAGATATAGACCAAAAACTGCATTTTTTCGAGGTTTTTTGGCTTTTCCGGGAAATCCAGGAAGGAATTCCGGGAATTTTTTTGGCCCATAATCGTTCTCGGAACTTGCTTAACATATTTGCTTTGGAACTAGTCCTCGATATTGCTTCGTTGAGGAGGAGATACGACTTAAAGCTGCGGACACACATCCATCCATCCATCCATCCATCCATCCATCCATCCATCCATCCATCCATCCATCCATCCATCCATCCATCCATCCATCCATCCATCCATCCATCCATCCATCCATCCATCCATCCATCCATCCATCCATCCATCCATCCATCCATCCATCCATCCATCCATCCATCCATCCATCCATCCATCAATCCATCCATCCATTCATCCATCCAGAAATAACGAATTAATATTCGCAATTGTCAGTATGGAAATTGCGCTAAAAACATGGCCGTCTCAGTGAATCAACTCACATTAAAATATCATAAAAGTTACCATTTTATACCAGCAATAAAAATACATTCACATATTCGTTAGTTCTAATGTTTGTGTTTTTACAACCATAAGTCAATTAAATAAAAACAGAAAGTATTTTTTTAGACATTTCCTTTTATTTTGCCGTGAATCAAACCTTTAAAACGAAATGCTCGTGAAATAGAAAATAAAAGACAACCAATAAATACATAATTTGTATCTTTCTAAAAAATGTTTTACACATCGGACTAACTGAATCCCCATCGCAAAATTCTTGTTATAAATAATTTTAAAATAAAACATGTTAATGCACCTCAAACTGATTTTCATCCCTACACAACCCCCCCCCACCCCACCACCACCCCCACTTTCTAGAGAGATGTATGTGACTCCTAGCGAGATGTATGGGACCATATACTGTGTGACCCTGGGACTATATACCGTGGGACCCTGGGACCATATACCGTGTGACCCTGACTGGGACCATATACCGTGTGACCCTGGGACCATATACCGTGTGACCCTGACTGGGACCATATACCGTGTGACCCTGACTGGGACCATATACCGTGTGACCCTGGGACCATATACCGTGTGACCCTGGGACCATATACCGTGTGACCCTGGGACCATATACCGTGTGACCCTGGGACCATATACCGTGTGACCCTGACTGGGACCATATACCGTGTGACCCTGACTGGGACCATATACCGTGTGACCCTGGGACCATATACTGTGTGACCCTGGGACCATATACCGTGTGACCCTGACTGGGACCATATACCGTGTGACCCTGACTGAGACCATATACCGTGTGACCCTGACTGAGACCATATACCGTGTGACCCTGGGACCATATACCGTGGGACCGTGTGACCCTGGGACCATATACCGTGTGACCCTGACTGGGACCATATACCGTGTGACCCTGGGACCATATACCGTGTGACCCTGGGACCATATACCGTGTGACCCTGACTGGGACCATATACCGTGTAACCCTGGGACCATATACCGTGTGACCCTGGGACCATATACCGTGTGACCCTGACTGGGACCATATACCGTGTAACCCTGGGACCATATACTGTGTGACCCTGACTGGGGCCATATACCGTGTGACCCTGACTGGGACCATATACTGTGTGACCCTGGGACCATATACCGTGTGACCCTGGGACCATATACCGTGTGACCCTGGGACCATATACTGTGTGACCCTGGGACCATATACCGTGTGACCCTGACTGGGGCCATATACCGTGTGACCCTGACTGGGACCATATACTGTGTGACCCTGGGACCATATACCGTGTGACCCTGACTGGGACCATATACCGTGTGACCCTGACTGGGACCATATACCGTGTGACCCTGGGACCATATACCGTATGACCCTGGGAACATATACCGTGGGACCGTGTGACCCTGGGACCATATACCGTGTAACCCTGGGACCATATACCGTGTGACCCTGGGACCATATACTGTGTGACCCTGGGACCATATACCGTATGACCCTGGGACCATATACCGTGGGACCCTGGGACCATATACCGTGTGACCCTGGGACCATATACCGTGTGACCTTGGGACCATATACCGTGTGACCCTGGGACCATATACCGTGTGACCCTGACTGGGACCATATACCGTGTGACCCTGGGACCATATACCGTGGGACCCTGGGACCATATACCGTGTGACCCTGGGACCATATACCGTGGGACCCTGGGACCATATACCGTGTGACCCTGGGACCATATACCGTGTGACCTTGGGACCATATACCGTGTGACCGTGGGACCATATACCGTGGGACCCTGGGACCATATACCGTGGGACCGTGGGACCCTGGGACCATATACCGTGGGACCCTGACTGGGACTATATACCGTGTGACCCTGACTGGGACCATATACCGTGTGACCCTGGGACCATATACCGTGGGACCCTGGGACCATATACCGTGGGACCGTGGGACCCTGGGACCATATACCGTGGGACCCTGACTGGGACTATATACCGTGTGACCCTGACTGGGACCATATACCGTGTGACCCTGACTGGGACCATATACCGTGGGACCCTGGGACCATATACCGTGGGACCCTGACTGGGACTATATACCGTGTGACCCTGACTGGGACCATATACCGTGTGACCCTGACTGGGACCATATACCGTGTGACCCTGGGACCATATACCGTGTGACCCTGGGACCATATACCGTGTGACCCTGACTGGGACCATATACCGTGTGACCCTGAGTTCAATCGATAAAAAGAAATGGGGCGGTGAACTCCGTGATGAAGTTTTAGTCTTAGGTCTGGCTGGCTGGCTGCAGCTAAATGATGGATTGCTGATGGCTGTTTATGGCTGTTTGTATCTGGCTGTTTGTGGCTGTTTATGGCTGTGTGAGTGTCCGGCTGTTTCTGGCTGTTTGTGGCTGTCTATGGCTGTTTCTGGCTGTTTATGGCTGTGTGTAAGGCCATTTGTGGCTGTTTATGGCTGTTTGTGGCTGTCTATGGCTGTGTGTGTCAGGCCATTTGTGGCTGTTTATGGCTGTTTGTGGCTGTCTATGGCTGTCGCTGGCTGCCTATGGCAGACGTATCGATTACCGCAGACGACAGCCCGCGTGTGACTGACGACAAGACCCGCATCACGTGACTTGAGCCAGCAGCCGGCATCGTTTGCTGGCCCATTACGAAGGCGCGAGGCCGGTCGTGTGACGGGAAAAATCTGGCCAACAGCTGAGTTTGTCAAGCCGGCAAGTCGCGACCATTGGCAGTTCATATATTGGTTATCTGAAGGCAGGACTGTGTGGACGATTGTGTGGGGGTATGGTGTGAGCAGTCGCTACTTCATTGCCAGGTGAGTGTGTGAGAGGATGTGTGAATGTGCGTGAGAGATTGTGTGAATGTGTGAGATAAATAGTGTGAGTGTGTGTGTGTGTTAATGACTAACTACCGCCAACCTACGACAATTCGAGTACAGTCCGTACTTTTGGGAAGGCGTGGGCGATAGGATTTTTTATATGCTGGGCGGTATTAAAGTATACATATACATACATATTTAACGTAGTTATTATGATCAGACAGTTATAGAACAGCATCCAAGTCAAGGTCTATGTATAAAGGAAAAATTACATTCAATAGTGTCGAAATTTTATAGCAAGTTACATGTGCGTGTTACGATAATGAAGGGAAGTAACTGTCATTTAATGTTAACTATTTTTTCATTTGAATAAAACCTATTTTCATAATGATACATGTGTACCTTTTACAATCTATCTATCTATCTATATACTACTAAAACTCAAGTTTGTTTACATGTTTGAATATTTATTTATTGTTTTTTTTTGTTTTTCTGATTGACTATTGTAAATGGTTATACTCTATGTGGAGAGCTGTAAAATAGTATGCAGGTAGAGAACAATTTTTGTTTTCAGACAGACTGTTAATCACACATTTATTTAAAGACGTTAATTAATTTATTGATTTATTCATAGGTAGATTAACCACATTAATTTTAAAAGATTAGAAAAACGACTTGACTTGACGGAAAAGTGACGTCACATGATGTGTTTATTCTTTACATCAATAATGGCGGCCTATCGAAGAAGATTGTGTTCCCATTCCAATGTCAACGCGTTCTCAAGCTAATTTTCTGTCGGCTATAACTTTAACAATACGTCCGTTTGCTGTATTTATTACGTTCCAACACTTATATCAATTTTCAACTGTCTTTTTCATTTAGTTTTACGAAAAATTTCTCTAGATCTACACATCAGCTGTCGAAGGAAGAACAAGCGTCAAGTTGAAGTTATGAATCTAGATCTAGATCTAGATCTAAGTCACTAGACTTTACGTAAATTCTAGATCTAGACTTTAAATTCTACATCTAGAATCTATTTCAGGCCTTAATTATTTTATATAAATCTTTGTTTAGCTTCAATGATCATCTAATTCGAAAATACATGGGATGTATCTATCTAGGTTCGCGATCTAGATATAGTAGGATTACTCGCTAACTTGGAGGCGTGGTCGGCTGCTAACAACATTATGGCGTCCGGACCGGACGCATGACTTCCGACCATTTTTAGACCACGAGCAAAATGGCGGGTTAAACATGCTATAGGTGGCCAGGGCTAGATATGCCAGAAAAGCATTTTAAAATTTGCTTTGAAGAATGAAGGCTAAATTTTAAATCGGTGTCATTAAATTAATAGAAATTTTAAAAGGTCACCTGTGACGTGATATTATGTATGGATGACCCCGGAAACCCACAGTTATCTAACTAGATAACGGGTAGTCTAGCATACTAAAACTCAAGTTTGTTTACATGTTTGAATATTTTTTTTTTTTTTTGTTTGTCTGATTGACTACTGGAGAAAATCTACTCTATGTGTAGGGCTGTAAAATAGCCTGTAGGTAGAGAACAATTTTTCTTTTCAAACAGACTGTTAATCACAAATTTATTTAAAGACGTTAATTAATTAATTGATTTATTCATAGGTAGATTAACCACATTAATTTAAAATGTTTCAAACAATAGCTTTCTTTGACTGAATAGTGACGTCACTTGATTTGTTTACTTTTTAGTACAATAAAATGGCGGCTTCCATCATCGACTTTGTGGCCCATTCAAAAGTTTAACGCGTTATAAAGCTAATTTTCTGCCGGCTATAACTTTAACAATACGTCCGTTTGCTGTATTTATTACGTTTCAACACTATTATCAAAGTTTTAACACTTCTTTTTATTTTATTATACAATACATTTCTCTAGATCTACAGATCAGCTGTCGAAGGAAGAAAAAGTTATGAATGAATCTAGAATTCTAGATTTAGATCTAAATCTAGGTCACTAGACGTAAATTCTAGATCTAGAATCTATTTCAGGCCTTAATTATTTATATAAATCTTTTTTTAGCTTCAATGAATATCTAATTCGAGAATACATGGGATTGATCGATCTAGGTTCTAGATCTAGATATAGTAGGATTACTCGCTAACTTGGAGGCGTGGTCGGTTACTAACAACAATGGCGTCCGGACCGGGTGCATGACTTCCGACCATTTTTAGGCCATGTTTACCACGAGCAAAATGGCGGGTTTTCACGTTATATAAACATGCTATAGGTGGCCAGGGCTAGATATGCCAGAAAGGCATTTTAAAATTTGCTTTGGAGAATGAAGGCTAAATTTTGAAGTCGGTGTCATTAAAATTAATAGAACTTTTAAAAGGTCACCTGTGACGTCAGTATATGAAGGGATAGTGTGGTCAGACCCATGCTCAGCCGAAATCGGTGTTTTTAAAAGATAAAAAACGTCTTTTTGAATGTGGGGTCTGGTTATTTTGTGATGATAAGTCACCGACGTGATGTCATTTATGGATGACCCCCCAAACCCACAGTAATCCAAGGTATGACGGGAAAGTTTAGTGATAATAAAAATGGGGGGGGGGGGGGAGTATAATGATAAAACAGTCTCGTAGTTTTATATTATTTAAAAAAAATATATTTACATAACATTTAAACAAATGTCTTAACTACAGCCCCTTTTTAATGGTAAACACAATTTCTATTAAAACCATTTTCTGCACACAAGAAAATTGTCTTTTAATTACCTACAATAAATTAAAGACTACCAGTTTTTTTTTCTATTTAGCCTAAATAATTTTTTAACTGTGCCGAACATTTATAAAAATAATGTATTAAAATGTTTATGATTACAAGTTTTTAATCACACACACACACACACACAAAGAAACAACGAAGAAATTAACTGTACGAATCAAAAAATAGAAAATAGTGTGGCCATATTGAAAAAGTTTGGACGTCGTCGGGCGCTTCTCTAGTTATAAACTGACCAACAAACAATTACAAATAATCTTTTGGCCAGTATCGAAATACTGCTAAAGGTGGAGTATATTCACATCTATTTACTGTATGGGCGACCCATTAGTTATCTCAATCGTGGTACATTGTTATACTCGTAGAACAGATTTTCCTGCCCCCTTGTCTTAAGTGTATTTATAAAGCTTTAATTATAAATGTATATATATATATATATATATATATATATATATATATATATATATATATATATATATATATATATATATATATATATATATATATATATATATATATATATGTTAAAACCTTTTCCTAATGTGGCACGAATTGTAGAATGGCCAATCACAAGCATATAATAACTTATAATTCATTTAATTAATTTGAAGGTAACTACACACTTTGATTTTAAATTAATTACACTATTTGTTGACTCGTTCATTACATTTGATAACACGTTAATTACAACGTATGTTTTCCGGTTGAATTGATGACGCGCTAATTATATACACACACGTGCAGATCACGTGTTCAACTAAGATTTGTACTCACACATTACGTGTTACCGTTTTGTCTTGAGTCCGTTAGTAGGGTCACTCTCAAACTCAGAACCCTAGACTAAAGTCCCCCCCCCCCTTCCCCACCCCCACCCCCGCCCATTTAAAAAAAAAACCAGTCTATTCATTAAAGCCTTTTTAACGTTTTCTGCGAACTCCGTTATTCTATGACGGTTTAACTAGTAACACCATCATTCTCTAAAGGGTTATCGAACATTACTCTCACTCCCTTAAGGGTTAACGGTGGACCCACCCACTTCCTCAGGGGTTACCTAGCAACACTGTCTTTATTTACCTATGGCTGGCGTTTGAAAGCATCTACTTTTACATTTTGTTCACCGGTACTCGAGATCAACCTAAACGATAGTCGATTACTTCTGCTATGTCGATATTGGTAGCATTCTGGGTTATATTTAAACCAAAATATACTAAAAGACGGTACTCGAATCCGTCCAGTTCTAACGATACCAAAATATACTAAAAGACGGTACTCGAATCCGTCCAGTTCTAACGATACCAACACGAGCGGCGGATGTGTTCGATCCTGAGTATTGAAATCAATAAACAATAAACTCTACATCATCTTGTTAAAACTCATCATTGACATCATTTTATTTATTTCTAAAAAATTCATCATTAGACACAACGTTAAGCAGGAAGTCATCTACGCCATCTTACCTCGTTATAAAACACTGAGTTAGCAGTTTCAGTTTCATCTTATGTACTCTTGTCCCCCCTCCCCCAATATAGCTTTTTCTCCTAAAAAGGAACTTCCCTATACATACCTGCCTCATCGTATTAAAATAATGTGATTCCCCCCCCCTCCGCCCCCACTCTTACATCCCCACATTAAAAGCTCACCATCCTCCCTCCACACACATACACACACAGTCTCCATTAAGAGCTCCCCACATACACACAGTCCCCAGTGAAATATCTCCCCCCTCCCCCTCCCACTCCCCCCACACCCACCCACACACACACCCAGTGCCCAGTGAAATCTCACGATTAACCCTTTAAGATCCTATATCAGGCCGGCAGCCAATCAACATCCACGTCACGTGACCAATCAACCAATCAAACCAGGCCGGCAGTTCAAATAAAGCCGTCACTTCTGCAATCAGTGAAATACGAACTAGCTGTGGGACCAGCGAGGCATTTGACGGGAGTTCTCTCCCCTTATCAATCGTTTCATGTCTCACTCTGGGCAGGATATCTCATAAGGCTAGGCTATAGACCAGGGCGCGGCAGTCAGGGGAAGGGGGGGGGGGGGGA